CTTGGTGGCCCCGCCCTCTGGTGACGTGGGCGGTCCTGGTGCTGTGACGTAACGTGACGGGGCGTTCCGGGGAGCCCCGCCCCTCCGTGCGCTGCCTGGGGCCGCTGGGGCTCACGGGAGGGTGAAGCAGGCCCTGTTACAACTGCCTTTACACCAGGAAAGGACGAACGCTGAGGCATGCTTGTGTTCTCCTTTACAGAGCAAAAATGCAGATTTTTGTGAAGACTTTGACAGGGAAGACCATCACCTTGGAGGTTGAGCCTAGTGACACCATTGAGAATGTCAAGGCCAAGATCCAGGATAAGGAAGGTATCCCCCCAGATCAGCAGAGGCTGATCTTTGCTGGCAAGCAGCTGGAAGATGGACGCACCCTGTCCGACTACAACATCCAGAAGGAGTCCACCCTGCACCTGGTGCTGCGCCTGAGGGGTGGCATGCAGATCTTTGTGAAGACCCTGACAGGGAAAACCATCACCCTGGAAGTTGAGCCCAGTGACACCATTGAGAACGTGAAGGCCAAGATTCAGGATAAGGAAGGCATCCCCCCAGATCAGCAGAGGCTGATCTTCGCTGGCAAGCAGCTGGAGGATGGACGCACCCTGTCCGACTACAATATCCAGAAGGAGTCCACCCTGCACCTGGTGCTGCGCCTGAGGGGTGGCATGCAGATCTTTGTGAAGACCCTGACAGGGAAAACCATCACCCTGGAAGTTGAGCCCAGTGACACCATTGAGAACGTGAAGGCCAAGATCCAAGATAAGGAAGGCATCCCCCCAGATCAGCAGAGGCTGATCTTTGCTGGCAAGCAGCTGGAGGATGGACGCACCCTGTCTGACTACAACATCCAGAAGGAGTCCACCCTGCACCTGGTGCTGCGCCTGAGGGGTGGTAACTGAACTAGTCAGTCACTACTTGGCATCCATGTGAATGTTTCACTGTGTTTGTTCATTCCAATAAAGTTGTTGCATCCACAAAACTTGGTGTCTCAAATTATTTGAGTAAATATTTTGAGATCATTAAGATAATTATCCAGCTTCCAAATGCTATAAAGATAGAGCAAAAACTTCCTTGTGGAAAGCTGAGCCGTGTCTGGCAACCATGATGAGCTCTTGGACATGGTTCTCCAGAGATGATAGCAGGATTCTTAACTGGCCAAAGCACTGGCTAAAGTACAGCTCTGGTTTGCTGTGTAAGCACCTGCAGTCTGATACTGGGACACTTCCCAGGAAGGTAGGGAGTGAGTTGGGTTGGAAGTATTGTCAGGGCACTTCAGCCAGCCTCAACCTTCTCAGTGTTTGGTGAGATGGCTCCTTGCAAAGGACCTTTGTTGCATCTACAGCCTAGTGTGTGTTTTCCAGCTGCTCAGTTACCAAGTTTATTCTTTGGGCATCCTAAGCATGTTAACAGACTGAGATTAATAGCTTAATACCTGTCCACCTTTGTGGTAAGTGAGGGAAAAAGTCAGCTAAAACTGCAGTGTTGGGCAATATACAGTAAGAGAGAAATGGGAAGTCTGCAGGACTAGCAGTAGGCTGGAGGTCATCAAGTAAAAGCCTTCTGAAATGAGCTTAGTAGGTATTTAACTGCACTGCACTGGGAAATGTGAAAGGATAGAAAATTAGGGTTTTAAAAAAAAATATACCTGGCCTCATTAAGAGGAGTGGTGTTATTGTTGGAAGGGATGTGCTTGCAGATGGAGTGAAAGCTCAGCTGATGTCTGACTTCATTAGGGCTTAAGGCTGTTGCTGATTCCAGTGGGAATAGGAGGGTGGGAATTAAAGGAGGTATATACAGAGTTTAACTTTGTGGTCCTGGTAGTGAGTTGTTAACTGTGGCAGTTGGCAACCTGCAAGGAGCGAGTTTGGCTTATCAGGATGTGTGTTAAAATGGAAAGAGCTTTTCGGCGCTGCTACCGTTGACTAGTTTGGGGTGTTACCTGCCCGCCTGCCTCCTGGAGCAGCCCTGGCAGCTCCGCTCCCGGGTCCTGTCGCGGCTCTGGTGGGCTCCGAAGGGGAAGCTGCAGGGCGGGTCATGGCAGTGCTCCGGTGCAGGTTCCCCTTCCGAACAACCGCAGCG